AAGATTATTTTGCCGAATAATCTAATAGAGTATGGATTTCTGCATCAATCACTTTTCTCGAAGCGTTTTCCTCTATCCCATTTTCCCCGTTCTGAATGCTCTACTATGCGTTTGTTTCTCATTTCAGTTCCTATATATGCTGCTTATTAGGTAACGTGTTACCCAGGTTCTGAAGAGCATTTCCGTACTCTAACCTTTCATTTTTAAGTGGAACGCTAGTTGCTACTTTTATTCATATGTCTCATTCGTAATACTTTTCATTCACTTGACCGACCATCGCTGTTTCTTGCGTGTCATCGTCATTATGTTGCATGGTCTGAGCTCTTACATACAGAGTGACGGCAATAAGGTGAGCTAATGGGCATCAGAGACGTCCGCTTCGATTGCGTAAAGCGGACATGGCTGGAGGGGAGTGAATGGATTGAGTCAGTTTTGGACAATGAAGTGCCACTGATACATGAGCTGCACGGTAGTCGCAGGATACACAAATTGAGTGACGTTTCGGCAGTGAGCTGACTTAGCTGGCGCAGCCGATTGTAACTGCTAAAACATCAGCCCAAGGCGTTAAACGTCGCGATCAGTAATTCAGAAAACTTTAACTTAAAGTTCAAAGCGTTTGAACCGCTGAAATGCACTTGAAATATATTTGCAATTAAGCCTGCGTATCGCAGTACAGAAAGACTATGTTAGCTTGATTACGAATATTCCCGTAGCTAAAGACCTCAATTTGGATAAGTACGGATCGGAAAAAGCAGGCAAGTGTTAACTGACGTTTGTATTAAGTATCCCGAACCGTTTTAAGTTACGTGTTATTGTCAATTTAGTGAAATGTTTGATTAGCTATTGAAACTGCTTGGAGCTCCGTCTTAATACGCTGCAGGCTATGTTTTTGACGTTTCAGATAGCAGTTGATCCGTCGTTTAGAAGCACTGTTTTAATTATTTTGGTTTGTGTTTGGTTTGTGAAATTATCCCATAAATTCAAAGGAAGAGCTTTGTTAAATACGCTGCTGGAATATGTATAAACCATTGATGTTATTACATTATATACAGTATTAGTTGTAATGTATTTCATTAGTCGTAATTTAAAAGCAGCAGAATATCTGTTTAACTGTGCACAACGTAATAAGGTCTATTGAATTGTAGCTGCGGTTTAGTATACATTGCCTGGTCGATGACTGGGACTGTATGAGAACTGGAATTCTCACAAAGCCCATTGATACTGTAGTTTCTTCACTTGGGCTATAACATCCCAAATTTTTTTTGCTCTTACCCGTTCATTCGTCTTCCATTCTGCTTTTTGCAGTTACCCGCAGACATCCTTCCATGCTGCGTCGCGCAGTCGGCTGTTTATGAACAGGCTTTAGACTTAGTGCTCACTCCTCCCACCCATACTTGGCACGGGGATAACATATTCATGAAAGAAAGCGTTTCGTTTTAAGCACAAGAGTAATTTCTCGGTTAAAAATTTATTCAGTCTTTTACAAATGCTCCATGTCATTTTTGTTTTCCTGTTGTTTGCTGACTGGCAATTCTCCGTTGCAGAGATCAGCTGTCCGAGATAGACGCAGTTTTTCACCCCTTCAACATTAACTCTAATGACTAATAGCAGTTCGCGCAGTCACCTGTTTGTTAATCATAACCTGAGTCATCTTCAAGTTCATTTTCAGTCCTACTTTGATGCCGGCATCGTTCAGCTTTTAGGCTATTGTTCAGATTTTTTGACGACTTTAAGTGGATCAATTTCTTTCGCAAACTGCAGATGATTTGAGTATTGCCCTTGATTGCCCTAAAGGGTTGTCTTGGTAACCACTTATAGAGCTGCTAAGAATAATGTCGTTGACTTTGCTTCTCTCTTTTGAATTTACTTGAGCTTTCGTCAAGCCTCACACTAGCAGTTGCATTCTTATTAACTTATGGTGATAAAATTTCTGTATTTTATTATCGGTTCCCCGGCTTCTCAAGAGATTTGATACAGACTAAACGTAGACCGACTCCAAGGCCTTCATGAAGAGGACACCTTCGCTTGAACTTGGGCTTTCCTCTGTTTATTGGAAATCCACTCATTCGAACCGATATTTACACCCGGCGTCATGTCCTTTTCCCGGCATGTTCAAGAACATTGTGAAGAATGTGCGTCTGCATGCAGAAAAAACTTGTAGCTTAAACTCCGCTCCCGAACGCAGGGGTCCGGTATCTATACCAAACGTTTCTAAAGAACAGTTACCCAAGGAAGATACTTGACAAAGAACTTTTGCATCCCAGAATGATCCGAAGAATTTTGTGTCCAAGTAGACTCATTCTATCATTTTTACCGCAGGTACATCATCAAGGTGTACCTGAACAACATTGAGTTTAAAGTGTACTATGAGATACACGCGCAATGTTGGATAACATTTTGTTCAAGAACTGCGTACCCTACCAACCTGGAGGAAGCGATAAGTGTTGTTTACAGTGCCCGACTACAGAGACCGCAAAAAGGTGTATATTAGAAAAACCTACCTCAGGTTGAATATCAGGATTAAAGATAAGCTCTCTGTCATCGGCTTGGA